TAATAAAGGCCCCTAGAGATGACACCAGAACTGAGTGTGGCTTGCTCATGAAAACAAGAGGACAGAGTGTTCCAGGTAGAGAGAACAGCATGGAGAAGAAAATTTATATTCTATGCATGTGCAAGAAGTATCAATTAATTTTGCATTGCTAAAAAAGAGATTCTTGAGTCCATAAACAAGGACATGCAGGCAAATGGCATGTGTGTGATAACACCTTGAACTTGCATCAGCTTTTTTTAAAGGCCCATGAAATGGGGGAGGGAGGCTTAGCTAAGAATGAGGCAGGTTAGGAGATGAATCTCTCAGGATCCAAGAGACCAGGCTAAGATGTGTAGATTCCTTCCTTGTATGATGGGAATCCTTTAGGAGGTTTGAAGGAAGTTTAGAAGGAAGGCTGGTTGAGATGTGGAGGGCTGAAATGCAGAACGAGGCAGAATGCAGGCAACAGTCGAAGACATCTGAGGAGCCAAACAAAGGCAGTGGAAATGGACAGGAGTGAATTAGAGTAGTGGGTTAGCAAAAAAAAATGAACAGGCTCTATGTTTATATTTACTTTTATATGCATAAAATGTCCTTGGAAGAGTCTCAATTAACTGATAACACAGGGAAAGAAGGTGACTGGGGGATGAGAATGAGAGGGAATGCTTGCATTGCATATCCATTTGCACCTTTTGAATCTCTTGAGCATATTACCTATTCTAAAAATAAATTAAAAAAAAAGACATGGAGGTTATCAGAATGAGATGCCTCTATATAAAAATCTGTCTAGGCATCTCTCCAAACCCCCTTCCTACATTTTAAATTGCACTTTTGAATTCAGATTATTTTTATATCAAGGGCTCTCAAGAGTGTACCAATGACCAACCCCTTAAGAAGGGCCAATCTCTGTGCTGACCCAGGTTATAAACATATCAAACTTAATTTGGCATCATATAGACATAAAGAACTATTTACCTGGCTAAGTTAAACCAACTTAACAGTTAGTTGTCAAAACACCAAAATAAAGAAAGTATGATCAATTAACTCAGGGGGCCCAATCCTTTAAATATCATGGTAAATAAAAGAGGCTCAGAAAAAAAGAATCTATACCTCATTTATTAAAAGAAGGGTAAATCAGATGTATCACTGATGTGAAGGTCAGAATGGTGATCCAGTGTAGAGTGTTAAGCTAGTTTAAGCTAGACTTTTGGCTAAAAATGACTTTTTAAATTATAGAGAAACTCTTGTTCAACCTAATACAGTATATAAGGCAGTTTCTCCAGATATAATTGACAAATTGAATAGCATTACCAACTCCAAATTCAGGATAAGTGTACATAAATTTAGGTAGTTAAAAAAATAAGAATTTAGTTTTGTAAAACTATATAACATTACTTTGCATTTGGCTGTATTTATGCATACATATATATCTCAGCTCAGATATACTAAACTTGCATTACTTGTTCAAAATATATTTATGTAACCAATTAAATCTATTCACCAAAAACATACCATGTCCAAAAATCAATTCTGTGATGTATTCATTTATTTGGTTTAATGTTTTATATTTTGCCTTGTTTGACAAAGGATGTGAGTCAGCTTAAAAGTATAATTCAATAAAATGGGAAAATATAATTAGATAAACATCAGCATCAAGAAAAACAAGATAGAACAGAAGCTCAAGACCAAAGGGAAAGTTAGAACATCAATATTAGGTTATGGTCATCCAATCCCAGGTTTTTATGTGATTATTAAAATTGAGTTGCAAATTTGACTCTTCATTTCCTATTCGCCAAATAGAAATATAATCAATTATCTGATTCTCAATTTGCATGATAAAGACACACACTTTAACTGTTCAGGGGAAGTAAAGGTTTTCTTTGGCATCTAGAGCGAAATGGAATTCTTGCATGGGTCTTCAAACAGGAGCCGTAAAAAGGGACCATGATCTTAGCCAAATTAATACCATTTGACTGTATTAATAATATCCCTCAGTGTGAGCACAATGGGTGGGAGTTGGGTGGGGGATGCAGGTAAGGTCAAGGATGCAAAACAGGGTAACTATGGTAAATAGCTTCTGAAAAATCATGCTAGGCTCCTGATCTAATATCTAGAATTGGAGAGGGGAATGGGCAGATGTCATGACCCTCGCTCACCAACCTCTGTAAACATCATTTCTCTCAATTAAGCTCCTGATCAAATTTATAAACAGGCAATTCATATTCTCTAGCAGGTGTAGCAACAAAGGCATTCTGAACCACTCTTAAGGGGAAACCAATTATTCTTCAACTATATATTTGAAATTTGAGATTATATAAATTTTCTGTATATTTTCTGTGTTATTTTTTCGATAACCGTAACAATTTTGATTCCACTATATGTGAATTGAGTGAATCTTGTTGGATTTAAACAAAAAAAATATTTGGGCTGCAATCTTAAAAAGGATGGTAAATGACATTTAGCAAAGAAGGGATAGAGGTTTCTAAAATAAAACCTTTAGGAAGATCCAGAAAGATATGATACGGAAAATTCAGGTCTTAGAATTTCATTCTAGTGGTGCATGTGGGGGCAGAGTGCTGGGGGCTCAGGAGGCAGGACCCAAAAAGTGAGTCATATAATCTAAGATATACTATGTATTTGGATGCAGGACAAACAGAAGAGAAAAATGCCTCTTCAATTCTGAGATTAGGAAGGAGCTCTTATTTGACTAATTCCAAGGCTCAAAGTAATAGCACATTGTTAAATGCTCAATTTCTGTTGGTCAAATGAACAAATAAGTGCTTATAAGAAACAAAGCAAAAAATTTACTGTAACCTAAGGGAGGGCTCTTTTGTAAAATGTAAGGTGAGCAAGGAAGACAATGTAAATAAACTGCTCCATACCTTGATTACAAAGATGTGTAAAATCTAATTATCTTCATCACATTCGGGAATTTTTGCTTTGTTTTAACAAATTAGATTTTTTTCATAAGTTCCCTCCCACTATTGGTTCCTCTAATCTTACTACCCTTTACAGAGAAGTGTTATTTCCTCACCCACTTAAGAAGAACCCACCTGGGTTAGAGAAGCAATAGTAATAAATTATGGCTTACCATATTTTATGAAAATAAGTCTTTTGGATAATATAAAGTGAGGATGAAGATGTATTAAAATGACAAAAAGAAAGAAAATCTGGGACCACTCCCAGATAATTTTAAGCAGAGATTGAAAAGAAGTTGACACTAACTCATAAAATTTATATGACAAGAAAACAAAAATGTTAACAGAAATATCATAGTGCAAAAATATAGCAAATAAAATATGATGCAATGAACCTTGATTTTTTTTTTCAAAATAACATAACATTTTAAAGCAGAAAGACACTGTATCTTCCAAACCCCTCATTTCACAACCACCCTGGTTATCAAACTTGGAAACTGATGTGATTACATACTGATGAAAACAGTTTAAAATGTATATCTATACCATATATTTTGGATACTTTGGGAATCAAAGACACTTCTAAATGTTTTATTTTTACCTTTACCTGTAAGAAAACGCATTATAATTAGATCAAACCAGAAAAACTCAACTATAAAACAAGTTAATATTTCACTTATTAACCAGATCACTGTTCCCCCAGAGTAACTTAGCATTTTCACTTAAAAATGAATTATACTTTTAAAATTTAAAGTTTAATTGAAATTTGATTACCAATGAGACTGGAAAATTTGCAAGCTTAGCCATGAGATGAACTTAATCGTTGGGGAGAATTGCCTCATTTAATGACATATTACAGAAGGGTAGCATATGGTCCTAAAAATGTCAGGCTTTAAATATAAATGTTAAAATAACCGAGTTTGCCTATTTATACAAAGAAATTTTTAAATCCAGTTAAATTTCACCCGACACAGAACAAATACATTGTGATTCTAAATTGTCCTTTTTAAGATGAAGCTTGAAACACGGTTCATTTATTCAACAAATAACTAATGAGCGCCTATTATGCATCAATCGCCGGGGATTACAGGATTGGAAGAAACAAAGATTCTGTCCTCTTGGAGCTCATACCGATTCATTTCTCCAAATCTCTAAACCTAAATGAGTTAATATAACATGGGAGCTTATACTGATCCATCTTCCAGAACTCTAACCCTTATTGTTTAATATAAAATAAAAACTGACAGCCTGGGAAGAGATAATCTTGCCAAAAGCTCTGATGGAGGGAGGAACTTTACACCTGGAGGGAATAAAGAACTCATACACCAGTTTCTCAGAAATACAAACCAAGGCACTGAGTTGGAAGTTAGGCTGAGCGCAAGGCTGCCCCTGCTGGCTGACCGGTGCATGCTTGCACCAGAATCTCAACTCTCGACACCTGTATCAAACTTGCCACTCAAAACACACATCCCTTCACGTAAGCAGCAGCCTCCTGAGGAGGCAGCACAAGAATATCCCAGCCTCATCGATCTCCTGAATAATTTCACTTCTATTAGGACCTTCTCGCAACTGGCCTTAAAATGTGGACGGTAACAGTTTGCACCATCAATTTTATTTACCATGCGGACAGCTAGGAAATACACAAAAATCCACAGCGACTTCTATATGTCACTACAATGAGCTTTTCCGATCTTCATGTTCTAGAGAAAAAGACAAGAAGAACGTATCTGCTAATTTCACCAAAAAAATGCAGTGATATATTTCTACCTGAGCCGCTGAAAATCCAACGGTCTTCTCCCCCAATGAGCCACAGGCCAACCTGTCCCCCAACCCCGCACCAGCCTGCACCCTACGGGCCTCCAGGGGGTGGGCGGGGAAGGGTCGAGCTCTCGTTCGCCCTCTCGCCCGACCTCCAGAGCTCAAGAAGAGGTTTTCAGGTTAACAGGGGGCTGCGCCCAGCGCCATTAACACACCTCCGAGCGCTCCGCCTGGCCCCGGCGGGAGGCAAGTTCGGCCGGTCCTGGCCCCTGCCCGCGGCCTCTCCCCGGCGGCAGCATCAGCTGCGGGCGGCGGCGAGAACGCGGCCCCGCCTTACCCACCTACCTACAGGGCGGGGGCGCCGGCTCCTGGGGTCCGGGAGAAGAAGGTCGGGCTCGTGCATTTCTGGGAGCGGTGGCCTCTGCTGCTGGGCGCAGGGGAGCGCATCCTCTCCAGTGGGAGGAAGGAGGGGTCGGGGGAGGACCGTGCGCCGAGGAGGAGCGAGGGGAGGAGGCGGGAGCGCCCAGGCGCGCTCCCGCGGGCCCCGCGTCCAGAGCTGGTGGGTGCAGGCGCCGCCGGGGCTTCTCAGGCCTCTCCCCACGCGCGGTGCCTCGCCGCCTCTGCAGCGGCGCCCACCGTCAGGGCATCGGCTGCGACAGGCTCTCGGGCCCGGCCGAAGGCGGGGAGCTGCCGGTGGCGCGACGCGGTGCAGCCGCCCGCCTCTAGCTCCGCCCGGCCCGCGGCACACTCTGCGCTCCTCCGCGGCGGCGGGGGCCGGGGAGCTCGGGGGCTGGGCGCGGTGGCTCGGGCTGCAGCATCCTCCCTGCCCCCGCGGCCTCGGAGCTGAGCTGGAAGGCTGGGCACCCCGGCCACCCCCAGCTGCTGCAGCCGCGGTTGTCCCGGCACAGCCCCAGCCCGGGCCGGCGGCTCCGCCCCGGAGAGCTGCGCGCGCGGCCTCCGCAGGCCTCGGCCCTTTGTGACGCCTCCCGAGCGCGAGCGCGCTGCTGCCCCGCCGCCGGCCGCCTGACAGCCGCACCTGGGAGGGTCGGCTTACCTTCCCCCCGCCGCATCCCCTACAGCTGGCCCGCCTTGGCCCCCGCTGTTCGTGGGAAGTAAGGCTTTGAGAGCAGAGCAGAGCTGGAGTTACAGAGTCTCCCCACGCTTTAAAGCCCCTTGACTTTCCTTCCAGCTCGGGACTGCTGGCTACAATAAATTCATCCTTCTGTCCCTTCCGGCGTTGCGTTTAGCAAAGAGGCCCCCCCATCTCCTCCCCCTCCCGTTCCCGGTACAACACGCTGGATGCTGCCAAATTGCAATCATTACAGCAATAGGAACGTAGCAATGGGGCCCTCCAGCCAACTCTTGGCAGAGACCCGACAGAACTTTGGCTGGGAAGGTTGCATCAGCAGCGAGGCCTGTCCCTGTGAGCTTCCCACCCCCAGTTGGGTGCTGTTCCCTCTGCGGTCCCATGACCAGTACTGCAAGATGACTAGGAGGTTCTAGCCGTGGAGTTCACCCTTGCACAGAAAAAAATTCAAGGAAGAGCCTGCCCCTGGTCTCATAACTGTGTCAGAGGCCATCCACACACACAATAGGTAGCGGCCTCCTGCGAGTCGTTGATGCTGCTTAAGCTGTAACAGCCTGTCTGGAAGGCGGAGCAAAGCCTTCAACACTTCAGTTGCAGATTGTCGTCTTATACTATGTTGCAAATATGGAATAACCGTCCAGTTCTGTACCGAGCGTGTATAAATTTGGACCCCAGGTTTACATCTTTCTGGTTTGAATGTGAAGAATTAGGCGTTTTCTCTTTTTTTTCTTTAAACATTGTGTTATTGTAAATTATTTAGCCTTTAAAAAGGGAAAATTAGGTTCCTAAAATAGAAGGAGATGCTCTCGCCGTGTCACAAGAACTTGATTTGAGATCTCCAGAGAAACTCAGCTTGTCTCACTTCTTTGATGAGTGTTTTTATGATTTTGAAATCTAAGGTTATTAAAAAAATAAGGCAAAAGAAAAACATGATTAATGGCAAGTACAAATTGTGGTTGAATAGGATTTTTTGAGATAGTTTTTTTAAGCAAATTGGAGGTTGGGGTGTGGGGCAATATGGGAGCTGCACTGCACTTGGGCACGTGACTTGGCTGCTTCCTGAGACTCTGGTTGATCTACAGCCCCACATTATTTTCAAAAGACAACTATTATTGAGTGAAGACTGGAGCAGCTGCCTGGGCACCAGCGACTGGGCCCCTCCAACTCTCCCCGAAGCGCAGGCAACCCCAGGGATGGGTCCACGGCAGCGAAGTTAACCCAGTTTTGTGCAGACCTTGGAATAAGACTCTCTTGCTATCCTGGTACATTGTTTCTCCAAAAAGAATTGACCATATCAGAAGGAAAATAAAGCTCTCTGTGCAGACTGCTCTCAGTGGAACCTCTGAAGACAATAAAATAGTGTTCGATTCTATAGGGCTCTTCACTGGATCAAACTATGGTGAAAAATGTTTCAGAAAGGCAAAAAATGACACAGTAGTAGCAGTTTTCAAAGTAATGAAATCAGTACTAAGAGCAAGACTGTAGATTCCAACCTTGGGTGTCTTTCACCATCCGGTACTGTGGCCAGTCTTGATACAGATTCTACCAAAAGCTCAGGACAAAGCAACAATAATTCAGATACCTGTGCAGAATTTCAAATAAAATATGTTTGTGCCATTTAGAAGCTGAAGCTATATGAGGGAAAATGTCTGGAAGGGCCATTGGACCTGATAAAGTACATAGATGTTGCCCAGCAAGATGGAAGTTGCCTTTTGTTCTCTGGAGGAAGAATGTATTATGGGAGTTTCCAAGGAAGGTATAAAAGTATCCACATCAGATCAGTATGATGTTTTGCACAGGCATGCTCTATATTTAATCATCTGGATGGTGTGTGATGATGATGGTCTGGGTGCAGGAAAAAGCTTATTGGCTGCGAAGACCACAGATGAAAGCAATGGAGAATACAGCCTGTGGGTTCATCAGTGCAACAGCCTGGAACAAGCACAAGCAACTTGCAAAGTTTTATCCACTGCTTTTAACATCTGAGAAATCTTGAATTCCACAATCAAGTGGAAGTCAACTTCGTCTGGAAGTTCAGCTGTTTTCTAAACAGTTGTTTTCAATCTGTAATGCTGAACTGTTATGGAAATATGCAGTGAGCCTTTGCTCTAGATTTTCTGAAGAAAATGCAATGTATAAAATTGGTCATTTGTTTTTATATTAAAAATGTGTTGTATTATATAAAGTGAAAAAAGATTACTATTATTATTCATTATGTTTTGTACCAAATTGAGAATTATTTGATTATAGGAATGTGTATGTACATTTGTGATGTATAAGTAACAGGATGAAGTCACTTAGGAGGAGAATTTGGCAGTTGCTTACTCTTTAACAAAATTTATAAGTTTTGAATGTAGTCTCTGCAGGAAATGTCTATTGAGTTTCAGTTCTTCAGTTTCCCATCCTTTCATCACCATCTCCCTTTTGTTTTTCTATGGATCCTATGTTTTGTCAAGGAATAAATTAAGCAGTGGTTTTTTTTTTATTAGACAAAGAGATAAAGTAAGTATGGGTTTTAGAAGTAGTAGCCATCAATTATAAAATGTCAGTCTTTCAACAACATTGCAAGTAATTTAAGAATCCCCTTCACTATCTTCTTGAACTTCTCTAGGGCTGCATGCTATATCACATGCTTATTATAAGGTTTTATTACAGTGAAAGTCCTGATATAATAAAGATCTCTTCTCCCTTGCTTAGGAGGGGAGGAATTTCCTCCTTACTGATTCTTTGCTCATTCTTTTTCATTAACTGAGTATTTGCTGACTTACATAAGTCTTGACAGTATAGAGAAATCAGAATAAAAAAAACCATTTCCTTATCCCCTTGATCTGTGCTGTCCAATACCGTATGCACTAGCCATGTGTGGCCATTTAAATTTAAATTATGGCTAGACTACCTTTTTGGATAGCACAGAATGGAACATTTTCATTACTGTAGAAAATTATTTTGGACAGCACTGCCCTAAATAAAAGGTCACATATTAATTGGGAAATAAACTATAATACATCAAATAACTTAGGAAATCTTAGTACATTATAGGTCAAACCTCATCAGAAATTGTATTTCTTAAGAACATGGTAATCTTTTAGAATTCAGGCTCTGGCTTCAGACTGTAGTTCCACCACATGCTGACCTTGGGTAAATTACTTAACCTTGTCTAGCATGTAGCCATCAGTAAAAGTTAGCCATGATTATAATAATGTATTTCTCTGTTGAAGGCTAGAGGCCATTATAGGACAATTTAGATGGAATTGTCACCTTACTTTTTCTGATATAAACAACCCTTGTATGATGAGACTTTAGGATAGGTACAGAGAAGCAGAGATCCCTTCAGCTCTTAAAGAAAGAAAAGAGGGGTCATTTCACTTGCCTTGCCCTCTGTTTGCTCCAGTGGGAGGCAGACCAGTGGGAGGCAGATGGATCTCTGAGTTCAGGCAACAGGTGTTCACCCAAGTGACTTTCTGGAGGGGTTGTATAGGCACCCCAGGGCTTAGAGAAGCATCACCAAAGATAACAACCATGCAAACGTCTTTTGTACTTTTCTCACCTATCTTTATTTATCTAAAGATAATTCTGTAATGAAATATGGCTAGTATTTCTGTTTTTACACACAGCACTGGTAACCTCTCATGAAGCTGGAATTCTAGAAATATTAACAAATATTGCTGGAATACTTTGCCAAAAGGAACGGCTCCCTGGATAAGTAATGAGTTTTCAACCACAGGAGGTATTGAAACTTCTTTGAAAGTCTCTCTGCAAAGGTGTGAGAGAGAAGATTTGTACATTGGGTGATGAGTTTGGGCTGCTGGCACCAAAAACTTTCACGCTTTCATGGGTGAACCTATCCTCCTTTCTCAGGCATAGAGAGAAACCCCTCCTTCACCCGACTGGAGCTGGTTGAGACACAGGAGGTAAATGCTGATGACATCTGTGCAGGCATATGCTTAGCCATACTGCATCTAAAGAGGCAGAAGAGAGTTTATTATTTAATAGTGTTGAAGGCAGTGGCTCATTTTCACGAACTAGAGTCATTGGTCCATTAGTTCATTATGATATCATCTTGAGTTTTGAGAAGAATATAAAAGGGTCCTTTTGTGGATAGATCTAGGTTCAGCGCTTCCCTTGGCTTGTTATAAATCTGAAGAGAAGGTGGAAATCACCTTGGCATTTGAAAGGAGGAGTCTACCAGAATGTACAGAGAAAGAAATATTGGCACATATAGAAATGGATTGCTGCCTGGGTACTTGTCGGCACTGCACACTTATGGTTATTTAGAGTCAGTCCAATGAATTTGCCCTTTTCTTTTATTCACAGCTAATTTTAAAATATCTGCTTTTGG